AGCTCTCTCGTCTGTGCTTCTTGACCATGAACTCATCAATATGCCTGGGCTTATATCTGATGACGTTTCATTTCAGAACACGCCATCATATGTTTTTTTCATGTTTTGTCTGTTTTTTTTCAACCATGCATTAATGGCTACAGCTTCTCAGTGGACTGGGAGAAGGGATCTTGCAAAGTCTATTTCGACGGGACATGTTATGCAGCGTGTGCCCTCTCTGCCCGGCGCTGGGTGCTTGTGTGTTGCTTGTAAGCCGTGCCAGTCCCCATTAGCATCCCATTATAAAGCAGCATGATCACTCGTCATTCGGAAAGGCTGCCACGGCGTGCTCTGTGTGACGGCGTGCGTGTGCGTGTGTGAAGCCTGTTGTCTGCTGATTGAGATGGCCTTGTTTCAGGAGAGGATTCAAAATGCGGCAGTATCTCACACAGTGCACAATTCAATTTAAATGTGTCTGCCAGTGTTTGGTTTGTTTGACCCAGATTTCTCACCTACCCCACTGTTGATGAATTGGTTTTCTGGTGGAGCCTTGCGCAACAATTTAATGTAGCACTTATGCAGCAAATCGCTCCCTCTGGTGGCTGGATTTCGGCTCTGCTCCAAATTTGCAACAAGATTTCACATGACAGTTCGATCCATTTTCAATTTGTTTAGCCCTAAATCACAACAGCAGTCGTCTTCTCTGAGGACTTTACAAAGTACAGATTGTCGAATCAAACACAGGAAATACAAAGATAACAAACACAGGAGCCGTTGGTCCACATGGAGCGGGATCATTTTTATTGCCATGTACAGGAAGTCACAGACGAGATAATTTGTTTTGGCTCTCGGTGCAAACAAGTCAAGAGTAGAGAAGGAATAGGGCATAATAAAACATTTCTAAAGTATAACATTTTCTAAAATATAAAAAAGTAAAAAGTAAAATTAATACGATTATTATTATATAAGTGCACTCTGTGCACACAATATACAATATACATTAAGCAGTGCAGTAAGGTGACGGCAGTAAAGTGGCTTTATAAAGGGTTTTGACAAGGTTATGACATGTTCAAGAGTCCAACCGCAGAGAGGAAGAAACAGTTTTTAATTTACATTTGTATCAAGGTCAGGTGTGTGCTTACTTTTGACAAACAACTTTCATTTGTAGAGCACTTTTCAAACAAAAAATAACAGAAAGTGCTTCACACCAACAACTCACATTAAAATCACAAAGAGCATTAACAATATAAATATTCACATTGCATGAAAAAGAGTGAAGATACAATGAGTTGTGAGCGCAGCATTTAAATGAGAATGCTCAACCAACCATCCAAAGGTTCATTTACATCGGAATATGTTTGTTAAATGTGGTTTAAGATTTAAATTGTTTTCATATGATTTTTTTAAACACACATTTATTTAGTTAGACAAAGAAAGAAATAATGAAAGTATGTCAAATGTTTAAAATAAATATATATGTGAAAGTAATTGTGATGTGGCCATTGCCGCATCGTACACAATATATAAAATACTTTTTCTAATAGTTTCTTTGTTTTGACAAGCATAACAAGTAAACATATGTGTTTTCATTAACAACCATTAATTAATTGTATTTAATGGTTGACTAAACCATTAATTACAAGTAATTAATGGTTTAGTCAACAAGACAATTTTATACAAGAAAACATTTGAAAAAAAGGACTATTTTGCAGACTGAAAGTAAGACTCGTTATAAGTTAGGCTTATTATGCAACTATGCCTTATTGTCCCAGGTCTCTCAGGTAGAAAAAAAGCTATGAAAATAACAATTATAAAGCACAAAACAACAACTGTTTGAGAGCTACTCAGGAATTGCAGCCGTTTCCAGCTCATTGAAAAGTATGTTCATGCCTCAACTTTAAAAGAACAAAGATGCACTGAAATATGGACATTTATTCATCTTTATTTAACAAGGACTGTCCCCACTGAGATCGCAGAGAAATCTGCACTACTATTGACACTGTTTCCAATTGACACTTGTCACTTTTGTTGTACGTAATTATTGTCACTTTATTGTACATATATCCTGCATGTAACATGTTTGCACATTTCCTCCCTTTGCACAATCTGAGTGTCTCTATCCATGCCAAATGTGACATGTAAATTTCTCCTCTGTGAGATAAATAAAGCAATCTTATCTTATCTTATCTTACCCCAGAGAGGACAGGTTTTAGGGTAAACCGGGGCACCCAGAACAAATCTATGCAAATATAGGGTGAACATGAAAAGGCCACATGGACAGCACAGCCTGCAGTCCGACAAAATAACAGGGATAAGTATCTGCAAATGCTCTGTATTTGTTGTTTACAAATGAGAAAAACAAAACCACAAGTCCAGTAACTGGTGATGTGACAGTACGCTTCAAACATCGACTCCACCACTCATCCCATGAATATGAGGAGGACACATTATCCTTTATAAGTACCGTGTACACAAACATATTATGCAAGTACGTTTTTGTGACCTTCTTGTGAGCTGTGGCGAAGGACGTCCCTCCATTAGAGGCAGCTGTTTAAACAGGTCTAGATTAAGAATCAGGTGCAGAACTTCTACGTCGCTCTCAATCTCAGACAATAGTTTTCAAGTTCTGAAACAAAACAGAACAAAGGAGCACACTGTAAAATGTAAAAATATTGGGGCAGCATCACTGAATCATAAATGAACTGGATTTACTGAAAAATATACGATTTAACATCCAGAGGCTGAAGGAAATCAAATGTGAAGCCACTAAAATTTAATAATCTGTTTTGGAGACTGTGAGCTTCCTAAAGGTCCAGAAATAAAATTCAGTGCTGAGAAAAATGGACAATATGGCAAACGGACAAAGTTAAAGGTACAACATCTACAATGGGCCTGTATGTATGAATAATGCTATTGCTAGCTTTATGAAGCCCATTAGGGGAGTAATCATGGACAAACTGTTGGTCCAAATGTCTTTATAGACAAAAAGTGTTTGTAGGAAGAGGATACCTGCTACAAAAATGACCCCCTCCTCACCTGAGCTTAACCCAACAACGAAAATGATAATCCTCAAAACATGAACTTACATGTTCGTACACGCTGTAATTTTCTCCGCCCAGGGGGTAAAGTGATCACTAGAGTTTGTCTGTGAACAACATATCTCATAAACTTCTGAAAGGGTTTAAATGAAATGTTCAGGTGTGTAATGCACCAGTGAACTATTTTGAATGCAGGATCATTTTTTATGGATTGGAACTCGTCTGTTAATATGGCCATGGCATGTTATACCTCATTTTAAAGCTTATTTCCTCAAGAAAACAACCATCTAAATGAGTTTGTGTAAGCTCTCAGTCGTACAGGGATTAGTCAACGCAAAGGAAGGTTTCTCACCCATCATCTGTACTTCTTAGCAAGTTTTCCCGACGTTTCGTCCTCAACCTGGGGACTTCTTCAGGGAATGAATTCTCGGACCGCGCGTTGGAGATTTATAACCTATGGGTGTGGTAAGCCACACCCTAACCCTGATACTAACTCGTAAACAATCTCAGGTCTGCTTGATGTAGAAGGGAGCAGGTCTAACGACCCTGCTGAGGCTAAGGAGTTAGGGTCGTTAGCCTCAGCAGGGTCGTTAGACCTGCTCCCTTCTACATCAAGCAGACCTGAGATTGTTTACGAGTTAGTATCAGGGTTAGGGTGTGGCTTACCACACCCATAGGTTATAAATCTCCAACGCGCGGTCCGAGAATTCATTCCCTGAAGAAGTCCCCAGGTTGAGGACGAAACGTCGGGAAAACTTGCTAAGAAGTACAGATGATGGGTGAGAAACCTTCCTTTGCGTTAACCATCTAAATGGTTTCACTTTTTTAAGCCATATAATAGATATTGTTAAATACAATTAAAACAAATCATTGCTAGTTCAGTCTAAAATAACAAGCCTTCTGTCTTCTCCACTTTTGGTTCATTCCAAACAAACATTAACTCATGTTGTTCAGAATAAATATTAAAACTCATTCTACATAAAGGTAATCATTTGGTCAAAATATTTCGCCTTCATAATGTAACAATACATTTAACAAATACATGTTTTTTCTTTCCACTACATATTTCTTTTTCAATATGCAATATACTGTGTGTGTTGGATATTTTCTTTTAACTATGGACCGTATTGTATTTTGTCCTTTATTCAAGATTAATAATAATAAATAATAATAAGAAATATACTTTCAGCCCCTGACCAGAGGGTGACACTCGCCCATAGGCGGGGTTCTGCACTTTTCTAGTTACTCATAGATTACCTCCAGCTGCCTCCAAACCCAACAATGCATTTGTATTCGCTGATTCATGACTTCAGATGACATCACAACTTCCAATACCACCGTCGTCACAGCAGTAGTGCGACAGTTGTGTATTACCTCAACAGAGAATGCTCACTCTTCAAAGTGAAACTAGTGTTGCTGCCGATGTGGATGTGGTGAACACCATTTATTTTTGATGAATACCCACGTGCGGCGCTCCGAATTTGTGCCTGGATTTTTGCGCTGGTGAAGCATGTGTTCCCACCTCACTCATCTTTCAGTGGGCCTGTCCTGCTTTCATCACATCACCGAGCCATCTCCCCCTACGGGCCCACGTCTCCAGCCCAGGTCTGCAGGAATGTTGAGTGTCTCTCCAAGCCTCTCCCCAGAGATTAGCCTAAACCCCCCCTTCTGTCCCACCAGCAGCAGCACCCGCACCACCACGCACGCCCCTCTCGCCCCATTCCATTCCCAAGTATGCCCTCCAAGAGCTGCCGCATTTTTATCTGAGCTGGGCGATTGTGACAGATTGGCCAAATGACACACATACACAGACGGACACACGCTGAGGCACCGGCGGAGGGGTCAGGCCAGGGAGGGACTAGAGAGCGCCCGGTCGGGGGGTCCGGGGTTATATAAACGGGCTGAGACCAGGCCGGGGCTCTGCTGCCTGCCGGACACTGCCCTCGCCCCCTCCATCGGTACACATAGCCTCGAGCCGCCAACATGAATGACATCTACAAGGCAGCGGTATGACCAATTATGCATTTGTTTTGTGTGAAATTCTAAAACTTTTATATTATTTGCGGTTCTAATATTGTCATTATTACATTCTTCTCTGCATTTTACAGTTATTCGCATTTTAACACGCTGTAATATAGTGTATTGTGTCAAAGCTTTGCAACTTTTTTATGACTTGGCTGTCATTTGTCGCGCTCCCATCAAACATGACTGGAATAGCAGGCAAATCCCCGTTGACGCGGCCTGCGCATTGCCTCCATCACTAGCTAATGTGAAACAAGCCTCCTCTCCTTATACGTCTCTCTTCGGGCGCCCCTCTTGAGCCCTATCAAGACTGATAGGGGCCACTCCGAAGGTCTCCAGCGGGACAGGAGATCTCACTCAGGACTTCAAACGGTTCCGTCCGGCTACAACCCAGCTAATTTTGGCGCGCTTGTCGGTTCTGGTGCCAAAGAAGGATGTGGATGCAAGTTTAGATAACCCCCCCCCACGGCGGCTGAAGGCCAGTATTATCCGTGAGCCTATGATGCTGTCAGCCACCGCGCATAGGCCTACCCAGTGCGCGGCCTGCGTGACGGACAGTTCAAAAGCAGGAGGAATGCGCATTACATGTGTTTGTTTAGACGGCTCTTTTCATACATCATCACCACAGGGGCGTGTATGTTTAATTTATAGTAGTGGACAGACAATAACTCTTACATAAGCAGCTGTCTCCCTCTCTCATTCGTGGTGGCTTTTCCGGGATTACTGTCCCATTGTTGGTCCCATCCGCCGCTATGCTAATTTAGAGCACTGTGTAGTGTGCGCTTTATCTGCGGGTCTTGATCCCGCTGTTGTTTATTTTTAACTCCGCCTCTGATTGGCTTTTTGAGGAGAGCAACGGCCCGGTCAAAGTGTGTCAGACTCTACTAACTTCGCATCTTGACTTAATAAAGGCCGACAACTGTGTTTTAATGAGAGTGGAAAGTGGGAAAGGGGTGATTACAATTGAGAAAAACATTTGCAAAAAAATATTCTTACCATATATTATGAGAACATTCATTGATTAGTAATTTAACGCTATAGTACCCTATTTTTCGTTTTATAAATACATTTAGTTTATCCCAACAGACATGTAAGAAGTTGTGAACAAATCTTTATCATCATCTTTATCATAATTAGAAAATATGAGAGCTGATTGGCTGAAGGCTGGTACTGTCTTTTAACTGAAAAACCAGATCTAAAAATGTGACCGAGGCCAAAAATACATGCATGTGAAAACCTTAGACTGTATATAGATGGACAATGCTAACCCCCGAGCTCAATGAAGCCCAATAGGGAAGTGCTCATGGACAAAGTTTTGCTCCAACTGGCTCCAACCCTATTGACTTACATTGAAATTCCTCTAGCTCAGTAACCATTTGTGTCACACCGTTTTGGGCTTAAAACACCTGTTGTCTGGCGCTCTCAATGATCTTGGTGTATTTTTATATTTTTTTGTAAATCCAAATAGGAGCCATATAAGGATTGACAAATCTGATGCCTTTGTTCGCAGGGGAAACCCCATTTTGCCTTAGAAACTGTCTTGACAGCACGTCTGCCCCTGTTCGCTTTTTACAGCACAAAGCCAACTCTGCGGAAGAAATGCCCATATAAGGAAATTGGCTCTAGCTAGCTAATGTTCAAATTGGCTTCTTTCACATTAAGGCTAACACTATGGTGATGTCACACTCGGTCATTCCACTCTTAATCACCCTAATATACGGTCTATAGTGAAAACTAGTGATAGAGGCAAACCGTTTTAAAGCCAGGAACTCGTTACATAGATATTCTTACATGACTCATTTATTATGGTTTGTCCAAGTTAGGATCTCCATCTGCAAAAGACACACATTATGTTCCAGCACTTTTCCCTGAAGTTGTGGAGCGTTTAGCAGCCTAAAATGGACACAAGTCAACACACACATGGCCCTCCACCCCTTTTTGTCTAATGCTCCTTTTTCAAACTCTTAAACTATAACCTCATAAAAAAAATATACAATAATGAATTAAATTATTGGAGTGCCCAGTTAAAATGTGGGCACAAAGTATGAAAGATATTCTTGTTGTCTGAGTTTCACCTGTATTATAAATACTTATATTATATATATCCAAATTACTGGGATTAGAGTTTAACTAGTGCCACCTGCCGGTGAATGCCGGATTCCGCCAGACCTCTGAAACTAAGCAGAGCAGGGCCTGGTTAGTACTGTGATGGGAGGCCTGTGGGAACTCCAGGTGCCACAGTGGGGCGGCTGTAAAGTGTTGATGTGTCACATTCCCTAGAATGAGTCTGGTGTGTGCGCGAATGGTTGGTGGTGGTTAAAGAGGCCGATGGCACAGACGGGTTGCCTTGCTTCTGTCAGTGTGCCCCAGGGCAGCTGTGGCTACAGGAGTTGTTTATCAGTCTCCATATTACAGTTATCCACATTTTAACACGCAGTGATATGGTGCATTCTCTCCATGACATGTCATTATTCATTCACACCATGAATGAATAATAACATATGAAGCGTCTAAAAAAGCGCCATGTAAAACCGATTATTAATATCTAAACATGTGAGTCTTAAGTTGACTCTTGAATAAGCTCAGTGTTGAGCACATTTAATATCATTAGGCAGAGAGCGGTCCATTTAAGGAGCAAAATGACAGAGTTCTCCTGCTTTCAGTTTACGCTAGAAACGACAAGAAGGATGAGGTCAGAGCATCTGAGGCTGTGCACAGGTTCTTAATAAGTAATTCAGAAACACTGTGTGTGAAGGTGCCAGGCTGTGGAGGGATATATCAAAAAGAAAGATTTTAAAGTCAATCTTGGCCTGAATTTGGAGTTTATGTAAGTTTGTAGAGGATATGAGATATTTTTCTAGTCCAAGTCTTTGACAGTTTTGGCAGCGCTGAGAACGTTCAGGAGCAGCTCCAGATGCTCGCTTTCTTATTCAAATGTATTATTTGTATTGTTGTCATCTTATCAATTGTTAACTATCTTTTTTGGGAGGCTCACTTAACCACTCTTGTCATGAAGGTAATTTCACAGCGCCTTAATGGCGAAGTGGCACGCTCCCTGCCAAAACAATTTCCAAGTGGTAACTTTGTTACCTACGTGGCAATAAAAATTATTCTGATTCTGAATTTTAGCATAAAAAAAACAAACCTATTCTTCTCGATAGTATCTCCAGTTTTCACTCTGGTGGAGCCCTCTGCCCTCGGAGCAGCTGAGGGTGTGGGGGTCTGACTTATGGACCTGGTGGAGCTTTGGAGCCTCAGATGGTGCTTTTTCTACTGCTTTTACCTGGCCTTATGTTTTTATAGCTCCATCTGTGTTAGTACCTGTCTGTGAGCGCATGTGTGGCTGAGACTGTGGTCTATGGTGGCTCTGTTGTGTTGCTGCTTTTTTTTGTTGCATTTATATGAAAAGTGCTCTATACATTTGATTGATCGGTCTTCCTGAAAAAAATAAAATCTAGGTTAAGTACAGTCCTATTTAGCTGTGTATACCACTGAAAAATGTTAAAGAATATTATGTTCAATGATTGAATGTTATTCATAATTATTTATGCTTTTACTTTTACTATCAACTTGTCTTGCCATCTAATCCGCAATATATTTTCGACTTTGAAAAGTATTAAAAAACTGATGGCAAAGTAAATATTATCAATATCATATTTCCCATTCATAGAAAAACAAATAGACAATGGTGATGACACACATCATGACAACCTTTATGGACATTGGTCATCTGTCCCTTATGGGCTCTATGTGTTTTTATCATTGCATTTCTTGTGTTTTAACGGTTTGATTCTCTGATCTGTGTTGGCGAATTAAACGGTTTTGTACAGTCTAACTACTGTTGAATCCCAAAATACTGTACGAGTAACCTTTTCATTGTTCACAGGTTGAGCAGCTGACGGACGAACAGAAAAATGGTGTGTACTACAGCTTTCCTATTATCTGACTCATCCTTTTCTATCTATCACACATTGTTTTTACATGTTTAATCAATCAGACCCACTTTCATTCCCCCAGAGTTCAAGGCGGCCTTCGACATCTTTGTCCAGGACGCGGAGGACGGCTGCATCAGCACCAAAGAGCTGGGGAAGGTGATGCGCATGCTGGGCCAGAACCCCACACCGGAGGAGCTGCAGGAGATGATCGACGAGGTGGACGAAGACGGTACGGAATATTAAGTGTCGAGCCCTGAATCAGATAACACACGCAGCTCCCATCATGCAACGCTGGAATCACATTAGCCCTCAGTAAAAAACGAATTAGTATGGAGACGTCGCTCAGGCTACTTTCTCCACCACAGTTGATGATATGCCTCTGTCTTGTGATTAGAATGCTGATTCCATGGCATTCTATAGTTTGGAACCAGGTATTTGGTTACCAGATAATAGTAGGTTGGCGATATTATTACTTTATTATCAACATCGCTAACCTACTGTTGTCGGGTATAGAAGAACTGCTAAGAAGACAACATGAATCTTCTCAAACCAATGGTGTCCAAACATTTTAGTAAGAGGGCCACTTTAGTTCTCCCGACTGGCCAGGGGCTGAAAAAACTGGCTTGACATGCATCGGGCTTTTCTGAGCTTTAAAATGATCTATGGTGGAGCTGAAGTTGGCTGAATGACAAATGTTTACCATCTCACCAGCTCAAGTCAACGACTGAATTCCAGACGTACTGGGCTTCAGAACTAGTTACGACATATATTGGCTTAGCTGAAGTTGGATGGATGACACAGTGAATGTGTTTTTATTATCTCAAAAGACTACTTAGGGTTAGTAAGGCAGAGGTTCACATAAAATAGCACGGGCTTGTCCTAACCGGCCCTGAGTTAGGACATGCCTGTCTTAAACTATAACATGTTGTTATTGTAGACTTTATATTAGGAATGGACTGATGGAGTTCTGACGTCACCATAGCAGCTATTTTCCTCATATGGGAAGTTGTGGCGTGAATGAATGAAGGCTTCTGATTGGTCAATCCTGATATGGCTCATATCTGGATTTACAAAAACAAGATTAATAGATCCTTTATTCATCCCCCAGTGAGGAAATTCCAGTGTTGCATCACAAGTTACAGACCATAGGAATGAGGAGCACACGACACAAGATAAATTAAAAATAACTCTACACTAAAATGAAATAAAAGTGTAATATAGAAACAAGTATACAATTTCTAGCTTTAGCATAATAATGAAGCAAATCTAAATTCTCCAACTTTGGCATTTTGAAGAACCAAGAATTAAGTATAACATCTTTGACTTTAGCATTATAATAAAAGATAAAGACAACATCAACATAGAAACACCAGGAGGACAGTGGCTCAGTTAGTAGAGCATTGGCCTTAGAGCCTGAAGGTCGTGGGTTCGAGCCCGTCACAAGACTTACTTTATAACTCCCACTGTTGACTTCTGTTGTTTTGTCCTTGGGCAAGACACTTAACCCCACTTTGCTTGAAGCCCCTGCTGAATAATCAAGGCTCCTGTGGACTCACCACCTGCAGGAGGATCAGTGAGGGGCTGATACTAAGTGTTCTGGGTGCAGCTCTGACTGCCACCCCCCGACCCAGAAGAGGATTAAGGGGAAGAAAATGGATGGATGGATAGTCTGATTTTTAAGGCCAAAATGGCGAGTGTGACAACAGTTACTGAGCGAGAGGAGTTTACTTTTCAATGTAAGTCAATAGGAGACAGAGAGTTGGAGCTAAACTTCACCATGAACACTTTCCCATTGGGCTTCATTGAGCTAGGTAGTTAGTGCCATCTATATACACTCGGTTGTTATTGTATCAAACCGAGTGTTGACGTCACGCATAGTGTTTTCCTTATCCCAGAAGAAGCCAATTAGAACAAACTCAAACAGGTGGGAATCTGGAGCCAAATCCGTAGATGGCAACAACCTAGCAACCAAAGAGCCAACCAATTGATCAGTTTTTATGGGTCAAATCTGTATTTCCAAAGACATTATCGAAATAAAAACCCCAGGTTCCTGCAGAGCGGTAAACCTATGCATCTATTAAATGGTAAACTGCATATTTTGAATCCCAAAATGGTGGGTGTGACACAAATGGTTTACTTTTCAATTTAAGTGAATGGAGCACTATGAGCACGTGAGGCAGCAGATTAGCACTGTCCATTCCTTTTTACAGGCAATAGCATAAAAAACTGCAATAGCTAGCTAAAATTATACTATATTGTTTTTTAGATCCATTGCCATATTCTGACTCTATTACTATTATTCTAAAAGCTAGAAAAGTTTTTGGAACAAAGTAACAGATTATGTTACTAATTACAATTTAAAACAAGTTTGCCATTTACTGTAAATAAATACATACAAAGAGTACAAACTCCAGAAGAATGCAACTGATCATCTATCTCCGAGTTGAGACGCACATCTGTACAAACATTTTACATTGAAATGAGCAGACAGGTCTAACAATATATATTAGTAGTATGAGTGTGCATCACTAGAACTTCTAGAGCAGTCAATACGGCAGCTTTTTGTTGTGAAAGTATAATCCTTCAGTTTACCTACATTTGTGCTCTTCATAACTTTGTGACTTTTTATGTTTCTATTATGTAGGTCTTTTAATTAATCTTTTATTTTTGAATTGTGAGTAGTTTCACCTTTAATTCCCAGATCAGATTCTCCTGTCGCCATTTTTGTAGTCTTTTTCTATCACTTGGCAACTTAACATTATGGCAGTTACAGAAACGTTTCTAAAGGTCCTGGACTGGTTCAGAGAAATTTCAGCTTAGAGCGTGTGCAAGTTACTATAGCAACGCACTGTTTACTTGACAGTAGTTAGCATTCTTTAGCCTTTCAACAAACTGTTTTTCTGTTTTTCAAGTTATGCTCACCAGTTTTAGCACTTATTAAACTTGTTTCATTGTGATAAAAGTAGTGAAAAAACTTTGCATAGTCAGAAAGAACAGTCAGTGCTTGTATAGTCTCTGGAACAGCCTCCGTGGACAACATATGCTCTCCTCCTCACACATATGCCACCTCCGCACAGTATTTGCTGGCTGATGAGGCGGTAAATTGTCCCTGTGTTGTGTCTGCAGGGAGTGGCACGGTGGACTTTGATGAATTCCTCGTCATGATGGTGAGGTGCATGAAGGATGACAGCAAGGGCAAATCTGAGGAGGAACTGGCCGAGCTCTTCCGCATGTTCGACAAGTGAGTGTGGCTTTGCACTTGTTGCTCCAAACGGGCTTTGAGGGCAGGAGCGGAGAGAGGCAGAATGAAGCTTGAACCGTCTGACAGTTTACATGCTGACTGAATATCTATCATCCATGTATAATGATAAGAGAAGTAGGTAAAAAGCATCTCTCTCGGGCAGATGTGTGTTGTAAGCCAGGGATGTCAAACCGGTCCTCAAAGGGCTAGTGTGGCTGCGGGTTTTCGTTCCAACCTGAGCGGAAGCACAGCAGACTCCGCCCATTTCCTCCGGTGTTTCCTGTTTTAACCATAGACAGAAAATATTAACGGACATAGTGACACCTATCTCCGCCGTTGAAACTTATGTGTTATCACACTATGAACACTAGTGGCCCCTCCTGCAGGAAAAAGTGAAAAAACGTATTTCATACATTTAGCGAGTGCATTCAAAAGTCCACAGCGGATAAACTAAGCTGGCCCATAATAATATATAAAAATACTCTCCTCAGCATTGACACACATTGGGTCAAGAGCCGACTTTTGGACCATCCTGTGAAGCCGTTTTTTGAGAGGAAAAAGGCGTTGTAGAATTCAGTGGATAATACTCTTTCTTACCACCGGCAAGGAGTCAGATTACAAGCATGTAACCCTTTGAGCCAAGACCCGCCCCCACTAGTTTTAACCTGAAGAATTGAGGAAATAGGTGGAGTCGGGTGTGCTCCTGCTCCGCTTGGAACTAAACCCTGTAGCCACACACTGACCCTTTCTGGAACCGGTTTGACACCCCTGTATGTAAGCATTTGGATGTTTTAAATACAACAATAGGTGTAAAAGCACACAAGCTCCAGTCGGATTCATACCAGGCAATGTGTGTGAATAGTTAGCACGACTGGATCCCCACTGTGGCATGGGGCATTATCAGCGTTCCAACACCAGCACTATCTGCCCCTGCACACCCCTGAGATATCACACTTTGTACAGATCACTCTAGTTACTCTATTGCAGTGCTGGTGAGAAACACGCAGAAATTCAACCCAAAGTATAAAGCAGGAGTGTCAAACTGATTCCAGAAAGAGCCGGTGGATGCAGGTTTCCATCTAACCAAGCAGGAGCACACCAGACTCCACCCATTTCCTCAGGTTTCCAGGATAAGACTGGAATCAGACTGAAATGGTTGGAGACTGGTGTGCTCCTGCTTGGTTGGAATGAAAACCTGCAGCCCTGGTATAAAGAATCATGTTTGATATATAATCGTCAAGCTGCGCAGTGAACATACATTTGCAAAATGGGAGAATGAAAATGTCTCCTGAGTGTCACCAAAATGAGCAGGAGCAGTGTAGAATCATGCTCTGAATGCTTTTGACAGTGGTAGACGTATCAAACACCCACACTGTGGAGGCACTAGTCATATCTGGTCCACACTGAGACTGAAGTCACTTAAACTGAAACTCAGAGGAACAACGTCACTGTAAAACCATGAACAATTGGAATACTAAGCTGAGGATGGTGAGAAGAGCGCTGTATCATGAGCCCTCTGATCTGGAGCCTCTGTAGGGAGCATTCAAGAGGCTGAGACCCAGGAGACCCCGCTGGCCTCTGCCATCGAGCCATTATTTCCTCTGGAGGAAAGTGCTGTGGTGCAGACGCTCAGCTCCAGGCTCAGCAGAAACAGGCCTCTGCCTCTGACAGATCTGAATTTGTGTCGACCTGCTACAGACCTGCACAACAGCTGAAAAGGGACATCTCACCAAAACAATACACCATTTTTCATTGTTACATTTACACAGGTAAAAAGTCCACACGGTGGTGCAGTGGTTAGACCGTGTGCTTCACTGCAAGAAGGTCCTGGGTCCTCCAGGCCTTCCTCTGTGGAGTTTGCTGTTCTCCCAGTGTCTGCGTAGGTTTCCTCCAGGCACTAAAAAGATGTACAATAGGTATGAAATAAATGAGTGAGTAAATGGATGGTGTTTAGTTGGGGGCTTTGATGCTCCAGTGTGTTTGGCGTCTCACTTCACTGTGTGTGGAGAGAATGAAAAAAATATCTTAACTCTGAACATTGTAAAGCGCTTTGGGTGACCCTGGTCTGTAAAATGCACTATATAAACAATCTCCATTGACTCCAGTCCAGTGTGTGTGTGCGTGTCTGCTTGTTTGAATGTCTGCGACTTAGTTCTCGCCGTGGCTTTCTGAGGTCTGTGTGAGTCAGACATGGACATTGTGGACCGTCCCAGTCGGCCTGACAACCTGTCTTAGTATCAAAGGGAAAAGTCTTGCTCTGTGTCTGCTCATATATAGAAATAAACCAGTGAAATATGTAGCGTTTATCTACTCGTTCTCTGAGGATTATCATCTTAATTCTTATACAAATGAAAGTGTGTTGCGTGAGTCATCTTGTCCTGGTTCAGCCTCAAGTTGGTGCTGCTCCAGTTTTCATTCAGTTTTTGTGTATTTGCATCAGACTCCTCATTATTCAGTTTTCCTTTTTAGACCTGAATAATTCTTAGGCTCTTGTTCAGTAGAAGTAAAGTCTTTCTTCTTCTTCTACTTCTTCTACTTCTTCTTCTTATTATTATTATGATTATTTATTTCCAGGCTTACATAAGACCCACTAAATTGCATGAAAAAAGTCGACCAGTCAGCCTATGTACAAAATGTGCAGACAAACATACATTATTGGCATTATTTAGCACAAAAATTCTCAATATACATGATTTAGAGTATTTTTTTTCTTATTGTAAAATGTATATGATCTTTGGAAACATGTAAGTAAATAATGTTTATTTAAATAGTGCATTTTTTACAGACCAAGGTCACCCAAATCGCTTTACAAGTTCAGATATTGTTCCAATCACTCCGAACACACCAGCGCATCAAAGCCTCCAACCAACACCATTCATTTACTCTCTCTTATACATTCATACCTATTGTGCATGTTTTTAGTGGTAGGGGAAACCGGAGCACCCGGAGGAAACCTACGCAGACACAGGGAGAACATGCAAACTCCACTCAGAAAGACCCTGTTCCGACCCTGACTCAAACCCAGCCCACATGTGACCTAAGATTGAATGTACATAATGACCAAAGAAATAAACTACTACTACTACATACAATATCCGGATGGAATGCTCTTTGCAGAAACGCCGACGGCTACATCGACCTGGACGAGCTGAAGATGATGCTGGAGTCAACAGGAGAAGCCATCACCGAAGACGACATCGAGGAACTGATGAAGGACGGGGACAAGAACAACGACGGCAAAATCGACTACGACGGTAAGGAGCTGGCATAACAGTTACCCACATAACTGCAGTTCTAAGAGTTAATGCGTATTTCCCTCATCTTTGTTCTGCAAGTTTGAAACAAAACGATGAATAGTGTTAACTATATATTCTGAAATCTTCCCACTGTGCGACGATTAAGATATGTCCTAATCTTAATCTTAATCTAACTATAGTTACTTACATAACTCCAGTTCTCCGAGTGAATGCATGTCCGCAAACGTACGTCTAAGTTTGGCACAAAACGGTTGACAGCTTTGACTTTTCCCAGAATTCTTGGAGTTCATGAAAGGCGTGGAGTAACGGGACACGAGCACAGCCTTATTTTTCTAATTCTCTGGGACTTCATCTGTGAAAACACGCAGACGCTCCGACGGCGATGAGAACCTCAGATCCGACTTTGCAAGAGTCACCGCTTTATTTTTTTATACCATCCTCTTGCATTGTTGTAAATACAGTTTGTAACTATACTTTTAGTGTTGGCCCTTGTGTAAATTGTGTGATCCTGGTTTCCTGATTGAGAAGTGATGTCATTTGGACTCTGTATACGATACGCTTTTCCCAACCATTTTTCCTGCATATTTCTACCAACATGTCTATAATAAAAATCATTTGTCCAGTCGTTTGAGTTGGTTTTTATTGCCATTTTTATCTCTCGCTGTAGTGTCATGCAGTCTGTAAAGATGCTTTATTGCCACTTATTGTGATTGACAAACTCAACTTCTAAAAGTAGGAATTAAAGCTGAGATACCTAACTTGTATTTTCTATTAACACTAGGACTCCCAGAATTCTGAAACTACTAGAACTCCCAGAGCAGTCATTTTGACGGTTCCCATTTGATAGGATTCTGGAAATATCAAAAATAGTGATTTAGTTTTCCACCAGTTTCATTAAAAGTAAGTTGTTTTAACTTTAAAAGTACAACAAAAACAGTTTGTCGAAAGGCTACCAAACAGTGTGTTGCTATGGTAACTAGCACTGGCTCTGCTTTGGTGAAAAACCAAGCTGGATCAGTAGCAGTCCAGAAGTAGCACTTGGGCTGTCAAATAAAATGGAGCAGTCAAAATGAATGTTCTGGGAGTCAAAGAACAACAAAACAGATATTCTCAAATAAATGACATAAGATAAGATCAACTTTATTTATCTCACAATGAAGCCGTCAAATTGACTGCTCTGGAAGTTCTAGTCTTAAACACATATTATTACAAAAGTTGACATTTTCAAGCCAGCCCTCGGAGCATTCCTGTCAGAAGTAACCGACCCTCCCATAGAAAAGTGATATATTTACAAGGTTCTTTTCTGTGTTCATATTTGTTCATGTGTTTTCTATTGTGCTGGAACAGTCCACGGTCCAAGGTTACGGCGTCAGTGTCCTGTTACGGTGCTATTCCCGTCTAATCGCGTTAGTGCCATGTTGGGCTCCGGAGCGACCCGCAGCAGACAATCACATTCCTCGCTCCAAATAAAGGGTGTAACGACAGCGCGAAGAGATTAGGACAAGCTATAGTTACTTCACTTACTCATTCTTCACTCGCCTTTGGTCTTTCAACGTGGCTCAAACTAGGCAGGAATGTTTAATTTATCTGTTATAAATGACTCACAAATTTATATGACAATGCTCAGATTACATTGGAGATGCAGTTTCTGGATTGGCCACTGGATGTCGCCAAAGTAGCATATACATTTTAGCCTTTCAGTAATGCACGTTAAAACAGAGAGAGGTTTTGTGGTCAACATAAAAGGCAAAACAGTCCCGTGGTGAAATAGCAAACAATTTTCAGTTTCTTTAGTTACAATATCGGTTGAATTTTATTTCAATATTTCAGCAGGTGCCGATACAACTCAATGGGACAGAGGCAATTTTTTGGAAGAAATTTTGAAAATAAATTGCCCAAATGTTTTTCTCAAATCAGAGTATGGCATTATTCTTTAAAAGTTCTTCCTACTGTACTGGCCATCACCATGTATACAATGTTTTTATTTTAATATTCTCAGCACTTCTGGACCTTTAGTAGACAATAATGACATCATAGTTGAAATGTACAGATTAAAGATTTTTGTGAAGGTTTTGTTTTATGTGGATTGGCCCAGAGATTACAGAGAAATTATCTTTAAATTAAGACTAGAATCTGGCCTCCACAGTAATCTTCAACTCTAGGCTCTTTGAAGTGTTGTGTTGTCACATGAACGCAACCCAATAAAAGCAATAAAGCACTGCAGTGAAATCCTTTTATTTTTAGTTTCTTTACCAACTCTTTTACACATTAAAATCTGATCCCGCCTTTTAGTTACCGGGTCAGGACCGGTAACAGAATTGTAGTTTAACATTCACTGTGATGACTCCTTTGAATACACAAACACATTAAAGCATTAGACAACTTGAATGGGAGTTTTTTCTTTTCTTTTTTTCCCCCTAAGGCGTGACGTCAATGCCAGGCTGACACACACACACACACACACACACACACACACACACACACACCCAACTGAACGACCTCTATCTCCTTATATAGACTTTTATGGACATTTATGGACATTGGTCATCTGCCTCTTTTATCCCAACGGCTCTATTTGTTTTCTATAATTGCGTTACTTGTATTGGATTCTCTGATCTATGTTGGCAAATTCAACAATTTTATCACGTCCTCCTGGACCACTACTGCTGTGATTTACGCCTATACAATCACACATTTAATTGAACAGAATTGAATAGAGAATTTAGGCAGTGAGCACGTTTTTTTGTCTTGTGATTGAGCAAGTGTGGATGGGGACGACTCCAGGCAGGCATCAATGAATGGCAGGAGTGTGTGGTTGTGGTTGTGTGTGAATGAATCTGGGGAGTGGCGCTTTAGGGTGGAGGAGCGGGTTACATAAGGCAGGCCCAATGACTCATGCTTGCGCGGTTATTAACTTGTAAGGTAAATAGGGCACCTGCTTCCTGGTAGGACGCAACACTCATCAATGGCCTTTGTCAGTGTAGGGGTAATAGGTTGGCATGATGCAGCGATAAGCAGTGAGATAAGTGGGGTGGATTAAACTCGGATTTTCAATGTGTGGTGTTGCCGTGACTACACGCTTTGAAACGGTTTGGTTTTTTTTGCTGTGAGAAGAAATAACAGAGCAAAATGTGAATTATAGAAATCCTTCCTCTTGAATCTACTCTATTCTTTTCAATGAATGCAAAAAGGCAGTAATAATGTAATCATTTGTAGACAGGGGATGGCGTTTTAGAAATCCCATAAGAAGAACACAAATAAATGATCATTCACAATACAATTATTTAAAGCTGGGGCACCTATATCTCAAACCACAAACAATGTAACTATGCAAAACATTTAAAAAGTTACTAGTTTCTCTCCCTAAAACAGTTCTTGCTTCTGATTTCAGCTTTAAGTCCTTTACAAATAGTACAATATTTTCCACAACTTTGACTTTCACAAATTCATACCCCCAAGGAAATGTGTTATAGTTTAAAAAGTCCACCTAATTATATTAAATCTGGCATGTTCTGTCTATATAATTCTTCTGCCATTTCAGTTTTCTGTCTAATCAAACAATTAAAACTGAGTCTAAATAGTGGTTTCACATTTTAAGTTTTAAACATAGAAATACATTTACTTTTGAAATACATTATAGTTTTCCTAGTACACTGTAAATCACAATTCAAACCTCAAGGAATTATACTAAGAAACCCTTGCTTTTTTTTCTTAGATTGTCCATGTTAATTGTTCGACATAAGAACACTTTGTAATTAGTAGTAGCAGTAGTAATTGTTGAGCAATTTTTTTCAAGAAACAAAATTCAGATGGAAAAGGCAGCAGCAAAAAGCTTCACCTTAGTCAAAGAGAATGATCCTCTAATACTCACAACTCTTTTATGAATCCAATTTTACTTAATACAATCGTGTGACCTCAAAATGTGAATCCTAAACAGACCCAGAGCAGTTGCTGAAATCTGTCTGAGCAAGGACAGTTTGGCTGGACCATGAGCGACACCGCCTCCACACAGCACAAATTAAAAAACTAACTTGTAAATAATACTGACTTATGTCCAAGATAGTTCTTCCTAATGATCTGATATATTACCAGAAAACTGTAGAAAGTACCGCAACAGAATTAACTTTACTTCATGAAGATTAAGTTTTCATTCATGATTTGGAGTAAACTTTATTCTACTGCAGCATTTAAATGTTACACACTTTAGGCATTAAAACATATTTGTTCAAGAAAATCCGAGGCCATGGTGCTCAACCGGAAAAAGGTGCCTTGCCCTCTGCAGGTACAGAGGTCCTTCCTCAAGTGGAGGAGTTCAAGTATCTCGGGGTCTTGTTCACGAGTGAGGGAAGGATGGAGCGTGAGATTGACAGGCGGATCGGTGCAGCGTGCGCAGTGATGCGGTCGCTGTATCGGACCGTTGTGGTAAAGAGGGAGCTGAGCCGAAAGGCAAAGCTCTCGATTTACCGGTCAATCTTCGTTCCCTCCCTCACCTATGGTCATGAGCTTTGGGTAATGACCGAAAGAACGAGATCGCGGATACAAGCGGTCGAAATGAGCTTCCTCCGCAGAGTGGCTGGGCGCTCCCTTAGAGATAGGGTGAGGAGCTCAGTCACACGGGAGGAGCTCGGAGTAGAGCCGCTGCTTCTCCACGTCAAGAGGAACCAGTTGAGGTGGCTCGGGCATCTGTTCAGGATGCCTCCTGGACGCCTCCCTGGGGAGGTGTTCCGGGCATGTCCCACCGGGAGGAGGCCCCGGGGAAGACCCAGGACACGCTGGAGGGACTATGTCTCTCAGCTGGCCTGGGAACGCCTTGGGGTCCCCCCGGACGAGCTGGAGGAGGTGTGTGTGGATAGGGAAGTCTGGGCGTCTCTGCTTAGACTGCTGCCCCCGCGACCCGGCAACGGATAAAGCGGAAGAAAATGGATGGATGGATGTTCAAGAAAATGTATTAGGACTTTTTCAATCAGCGTTTTGTCCTCTACGTTCTGATACATTGTGATGTTCAGGTTGTGTTTTTTATTATTTCTTTAAAATCTGTTGCACGTTAGATGTTTCATTGAAATGTAAGGTGCAATGCAAAAAAACTGTATTATTATTATTATTATTATCCTTATTGTTATTGTCGTTAGCACTATCATTTTTCAGATTCAGATTTATTTTTATTAAAACCACATTGGAATACATGTGCAAAAGTCCCCAGTGTGCACCAAACAAGTACATAAACTAATTACTTTTATCATTATTATTCTTATTACTATTATTATTATATTATTATTATTATTATTATTATTATTATTATTACCCTG